CATTTACCTGCAAATGATAAGATTTCATTTTTCTTCATGGCTGAGTAAAATTCCATTGTGTACAAGTACCACATTTTCTTGATCCATTCATCAGTAGTGGGGCATCTTGGTTGTTTCCATAACTTGGCTATTGTGAATAGTGCTGCAATAAACATGGGTGTGCAGGTGCCTCTGGAGTAACCTGTGTTGCATTCCTTTGGGTATATCCCCAGGAGTGGGATTGCTGGATCATATGGCAGGTCTATGTTTAGATTTTTAAGAAGTCTTCACCAGCAGTGGATTAGGGTTCCTTTTTTCCCACATCCTCACCAACACTTGTTGGTGGTGTTTTTGGATGATGGCTATTCTAACAGGGGTGAGGTGGAATCTTAGTGTGGTTTTGATTTGCATTTCCTTTATGGCCAGAGATGGTGAGCATTTTTTCATGTGTTTTTTTGGCCATTTGAATTTCTTCTTTTGAAAAAGTTCTGTTTAGTTCAGTTGCCCATTTCTTAATTGGTTCATTGATTTTAGGAGAGTTTAGTTTCTTAAGTTCCCTGTATATTCTGGTTATCAGTCCCTTGTCTGATGTATAGCTGGCAAATATTTTCTCCACTCTGTGGGTGGTCTCTTCAGTTTAGAGACCATTTCTTTTGTTGTGCAGAAGCTTTTTAATTTTATGAAGTCCCATTTTCTGTTCCTTCTCTCTAGTTGCTGGCTGCTGGGTTCTATTGAGGAAGTCTTGCCTATACCTATTTGTTCCAGAGTGTTTCCTGCTCCTTCCTGTAGTAACTTCAGAGTTTCAGGTCTGATATTTAAGTCCTTGATCCATTTTGAGTTGATACTAGTACAGGGTGATAGACATGGATCTAGTTTCAGTTTCTTGCAGATGGATAACCACTTTTCCAGCAACATTTGTTGAAGAGGCTGTCTTTTCTCCATCGTATATTTTTGGCACCTTTGTCAAAAATGAGGTGGGTGTAGTTGTGTGGATTCATATCTGGGTCCTCTATTCTTCCACTGGTCTTCATGTCTGTTTTTGTGCCAGTACCATGCTGTTTTTATTGCTATTGCTTTGTATAATTTGATAGTATAGGGTATTGTGATACCTCCAGCATTGCTCTTTTTGCTGAGTATTGCCTTGGCTATTCGGTCTCTTGTGTTTCCAAATGAACTTTGGGTAGATTTTTCAATCTCTGTGATGAAAGTCATTGGGATTTTGATGGGAATTGCATTAAACATGTAGATTGCTTTTGGTAGTATAGCCATTTTTACTATGTTGATTCTACCATCCATGAGCACGGAGATCTTTCCATCTTCTGTAGTCTTCCTCGATCTCTTTTTCAGGAGTTTGTAATTCTCCTTGTAGAGGTCATTCACATCCTTTGTTAAATTTACTCCTAGGTATTTGATTTTTTTGAGGCTATTGTGAATGGAATTGTTTCCATATTCCTTCTCAGTTTGTTCATTGTTGGTATATAGAAAAGCTAATGATTTTTGTAGGTTGATTTTGTATCCTGCCACCTTACTGTAGCTGTTTATGGTGTCTAAGAGTTTTTGTGTGGAGTTTTTTGGGTCTTTAAGGTATAGGATCATATCATCTGCAAATAAGGATATTTTGACAGTTTATCTATTTGTATTCCTTTTATTTCTTCTTCTTGCCTAATTGCTCTGGCTAGGAATTCCAGTACTATGTTGAATAGGAGTGGGATAGTGGGCACCCTTGTCTCATTCCTGATTTTGGGAATGGTTTCAGTTTTTCACCATTAAGTATGATGTTGGCTGTAGGTTTGTCATATAGCCTTTACAATGTTGAGGTACATTCCTTCTATTCCTAGTTTTCTTAGAGCTTTTATCATGAAGTGTTGGATCTTGTCAAGGCTTTTTCTGCATCTATTGAGATGATCAAGTGGTTTTTGTCTTTGCTTCTATTGATGTGCTGTATTACATTTATAGATTTGCTATGTTGAACCACCCTGCATCCCTGGGATGAAGCCAACTTGGTCATGTGTATGATCTTTCTGATGTGTTGTTGGATTGGTTTGCCATTATTTTATTGAGGATTTTGCATCAAAGTTCATTAAGGAAATTGGCCTATAGTTCTCCTTTTTGGAGGTGTCTTTGTCTGGTTTTGGGATGAGAGTAATATTGGCTTCATAAAATGAGTTAGGCAGTGTTCCTTCCCTTTCTTTTGTGGAACAGTTTAAGAGGTTGGTATTAGTTCTTCTTTAAATGTCTGAGAATTCAGCAGTGAATCCATCAGGTCCTGGACTTTTCTTTTTTGGGAGGCTCTTGATGGCAGCTTCAATTTCTTTTTGTGTTATAGATCTATTCAGGTGATTAATATCCTCTTGGTTCAGTTTTGGGTGGTTGTAAGTTTCTAGAAATCTGTCCATTTCTTCAAGATTTTCAAATTTATTAGAGTATAGGCTCTCAAAGTAGTCTGTGATGATTTCCTGGATTTCCGTGGTGTTTGTTGTTATCTCTCCTTTTGAATTTCTGATTTTACTGATTTGGGTTTTTTCTCTCCTCATTTTAGTCAGGTTTGCCAGGGGTCTGTCAATCTTATTTATTTTTTCAAAGAACCAGCTTTTTGTTTCATTGATTCTTTGTATGGTTTTTTTTGTTTATTTCATTGATTTCAGCCCTTATCTTAATTATTTCTTTCCTTCTGCTTGTTTTGGGTTTGTTTGTTCTTGTTTTTCTAGGAGTTTCAGCTGTAGTGTTAGGTATTGATTTGAGATCTTTCTGTCCTTTTGATATATGCACTCATGGCTATAAACTTTCCTCTTAGGACTGCCTTTGCTGTGTCCCATAGGTTCAGTAGGTCGTGTTTTCATTTTCATTAACTTCCAGGAACCTTTTAATTTCCTCTTTTATTTCATAGTGACCCATTCATTGTTGAGTAATGTGTTGTTCAGCTTCCAATTGTTTGTGTGTTTTTTACTGCTTTTTTTGTTGTTGATTTCTAGTTTTAATGCATTGTGGTCAGACAGAATGCATGGGATTATTTCTATTTTCTTATATTTGCTGAGGCTTGCCTTGTGCCCTAAGATATGATCAATTTTGGAAAAGGTTCCATGGGCTGCTGAGAAGAATGTATATGTGCAGAAGTTGGATGAAATATTCTGTAGACATCAGCTAGGTCCATTTGATCTAGGTGTGATTTAGTTCTAGGATTTCTTTATTGATTTTTTGTTTGGATGACCTATCTATTGGTGATAGGGATATTAAATCTCCCCTACCACTGTGTTGGGTCTATATATGCTTTTAGGTCCTTCAGAGTATGATTGTGAAATTGGTGCATTGATGTTGGGTGCATATAGGTTGATAATTTTATTTCCTTTTGGTGTATTTCCCCTTTTATTAGTATGGAGTGTCTTCTTTATCTCATTTGATCAAAGTAGGTTTGAAGTCTACTTTGTCCAGATAAGTATTGCTACCCTGCCTGTTTTGCGGACCATTGGCTTGGTAAATCTTCTTCCAGCCTTTCACTTCAGCCAGTGCTTATTTCTGTCTATGGGTGGGTCTCCTGTAGGCAGCAGATTGTTGGATCTTCCTTTTTAATCCAGTTTGCCAATCGGTGTCTTTTGATGGGGAATTTAGTCCATTAACGTTTAGTGTTAGTATTGATTAGTATGTGCTGATTCCTGTCATGTAGTTATCTTTGTTGATTAAGGATTTGATTGTGTATAGCTGAATCAGTGTTACTCTTTGCTTTCTTGCCTTTTCTTCTCCTGTGGTTTGGTTTTTCTCACCCTTTCATGGTTTTGTTTGCTTTCATGATCTGTGTGCAGAATTCCTTGGAGAATCTTTTGTAGTGGTGGCTTGGTGGTCATATATTGTTTTAGTTTCTGCTTATCATGGAAGACTTTTATTGTTCCATCTATTTTGAATGATAGTTTTGCTGGGTAGAGTATCTAGGGTTGAAGTTATTCTCATTCAGTGCTTGGAAGACCTCACCTCATGTTCTTGCTTTTAATGTTTCTGTTGAGAAGTCTGTGATTTTGATGGGTTAGCCTTTGTATGTTTTTTGTTTTTTTCTCACAGCCTTCAATATTCTTTCTCTATTCTCTGTACTTGTTGTTTTAATGATCATATGTCATGGGGTAGTTCTATTTTGGTCAGGTCTGTTCAGTATTCTGGAGGCTTCCTGTACCTGAATGGGCATAGTTTTCTCTATATTTGGGAAGTTTTCTGTTACTAGTTTGTTGAATATATTATGCATTCTTTTTGTTTGCACCTCTTCTTCTTCAGTGCCCATGATTCTTAGGTTTGGTCTTTTGATAGTGTCAGTGAGTTCTTGCATTTTCTTTTCAGAGGTCTTGAGTTGTTTAACTAATAGTTCTTCAGTTTTTCCTTTAATTGCCATTTCATCTTCAAGTTCTGAGATTCTGTCTTTTGTTTGTTCTATTCTGCTGGAATGGCCTTCCATTTTGTTTTGTATTTCTGTTTCATTCTTTTTTCTGAGGTTTTTCATATCTTGGGTTACTTCCTCTTTAATAGTGTCAATTTTTGACCTTAATTCATTTCTCTTTTTGTTTGTGGTGGTCTCAGTTTCAGTTTGGCGTTTATTTAGGGCTCCTGAGTTCATTTATTTGTTTTTGTGTTTTCTCATATTCTTTATTTTTGTCTTCTTGGAATTTCTTGAGTGCCTTCTGTACACTTTGTTTGACCATGTCTACTAACATCTCTGTGAACTTCTCATTAATTACTTGTAGGATTTCTTCTTTCAGGGTGTTCTTGTGGGCTTCCTTGGGTTCCTTGGTATAGTTTATCTTTGTTTTGTTGGAGCCTGGGTCTGCGTATCCATTTTCTTCATTTCACTCTACATCCTGCAGTACTTTATGTTTGGGGGGGAATAATTTCCTTCCCTTTTTCTTCTCCCATATTTCCAATTGGTAAATTTTCTATCCCTGAAATTTTTTTTTTTTTTTTTTTTTTTTTTGCGAACACTGAGCATTTTATTAAACGTTAATTAAAAGTCTGCCCGGGTGACATGGAGCCCCAGGCGCGTGGCGTCACAGCCGTCTTCCCGGTCGGGGAGCCTCGCACCTCGGCGGGTTCTCGGTGAAGATCCTGATGCAGCTGCACTCCGGGGACCAGAGCGAGAAACTGATGGCCTCCTCTTCTTCCTCACTGAAGTGCTTCTCGATGATGCTCAGGGCGGACTGGCTGATCTGACGGTTCTCGTGGAGCTGCAACGCCTCGATCCTGTCCACGCCGCCCAGCTCCTCCAACAGGAGGCACAGGCTGGCCTTCTCTCGAACCTTCTCTGCAGCCTGGAGGACACAGGCCACCACGTCGAGGATGATGACGACAATTCTCACATCGGGGACAGTGAGCAGGTCCATCAGGGGCCCCAAGACCCCAGCGTGGACAAGCTGGAACAACTGCTCCACTGAGGCCCCCGTGGTGAAGTTCGCCACCGTCCACACAGCCTCCTTCTGGACTTTGAATTCCGCGCTTTTCAGCAGGGCCACCAGAGCGGGCAGTATGTCACTCGCGATCAGCTGCTGGATGTGGTGAGGGGGCCCAGCTGCCACGTTACTCAGGGCCCATGTGGCCTCCTTCTGGACGGAGGACTTGGGGTGCCTCAGGAGCTGGGGCAGGGCCTGCAGCATCCCGGCGTCAAGGGCCTTCTGGGTCTGCTGGTCTGTTCCCGTGACGATGTTCCCCACGGTGCGCAGAGCAGGGCTCAGGACACTGAGTTCTGAGCCGGCCATGAGCTCCACCAGCCTGGGCAGGACCCCCGTGTCCACCACCTGGCCGATGCGCTCATTGTGGCCGTCAGTGAGGTAGGACAGGGCCCAGCAGGTGTCCGAGAGGACCTCGCTGTCATGGTGGCACAGGAGGTGGGTGAGCGCCGGCAGCACCTGCCTCACGGCTGCCTGGCTGGGGTACGGGTTCTTGTTCCGGCACAGGTTGGACAGGGTCCACGTGACGTTTCGTAGAAATGTGATTGGGATGGCTGATGACAGAAGAGCGAGCAGATGCGGAATAGCACCTCCTGAGATAACAATGTCTCTGAATTCTGGGCCATCACCGGCTATGTTGCCCAGCGCCCACACGGCCTGCTCGCACACGGTGGCATGGGGGGAGGACAGCAACTCGGTCAAGGGTGGGATGGCGCCTCCTTCCACCACAGCCCGAGTCTGCTCTGACGTCCCGGAGGCGATGTTGGTCAAAGCCCAGGCCGCCTCGAACTGCAGGTTGGGGGGGACGGGGGGCTTCAGCAATTCCACCAGCCTTGGGATGAGCCCCGCTTCCACCATCACTTTTAGGGGGGGGTTCCTTTCCTGCGACAGCATTTTCCTGGCTGCCTGCGTGGCCAGGAAACAGAGAGTTGGATCCAAGCTGTTCACGCCTTTGATTATTTCATCCAGAGTGAGGCTGACCCTGGTGGCAGGGACCTCTGAAGCCACATCGGAGGACAGGGGACCGATGTTCCTTCTCTTTAAACTCTGCTCGTCCTTCTTGGCCTTCCGGAGCTCCAGGCTGGCCGCCACCCTCTGCTGCCGCCTCACAGATGCATCTTTGCCCCAGTACTTAAATTTTCTCAGCCTCTCTTCGGGAGCGTCTAAGGCAGGCATATTGACTCCAGGAAGAAAATCACACGAACTTGAATCTTGACGCGATTCCTCAGTTCCTCCCCAGTGCATAGCCCGTGACAGGTCCTCAAAGGCTTGTTGGAGGAGGAAGACCAGTGATAAGGGGCAGACTCTCAATTTCAGGAGGTTATGCAAAGCAGCAGGGAGTCTTTCTACACAGGTGCAGTGAGTCTGTGTCAAAGTATCCAGACTTCATGCTGGCATGTTTAGCATGAACTAAATTACTATGTGTAATTTAGTATTAGCTGGGTAGTAATATTAATACTAACAAAACCAAGAGTAAAGGATAAAAAAGAGAGAGAGATGGAAAGGTAAAAAGGAATAGGGTGGAGAGGAAAAGAGAAAAAAAATGGTAGAGATGGCGGATGATCAAACTGTAAGCCAGGCAGCAAATCCCTTAAGGAAGGGAAAAAAATAAAAATTAAAAAAAATATATCTGTTCTGGTTCAGTAGAATTGCAGTCTTAGTTGTTCTGATGCTAGTTCTTTAGCATCCAGATCTGTCTGTGTCTGTCTCTTAGGTAGGTTTGGAGCCTTCCTGTGGCAAGTGGATGGTGGGTGGGGTCCCATGGGCCTATGGATGGAGGCCTTTAGCTGAGGTGAGGTAGTGGCCTTTGAAGTGTGAACTTGGCATGCCTGAAGGATGCAGGCTGGTGGATTGGAGATCCTGTGTGTCTATGGATCCCTGGCTTGTGGGGGAGGGGCGTTCTAGCAGAACAGAGATCATGTGTATGTGTGTGCCCGGCTTGGCAGGCGTTAGGCATGCAGCCTTGCAGAGTGAATATTGTGCGGTGCTGTACAGGCTTTGGGGGCGTGGCTGGCAAAGCAGAGATCGTGCAGGGCTGGGGAGCATGGCCCAGCGAGACAGAGGTCATGCAGAGCTGTGCAGGCCTGGAGGGTGTGTGGCCTGGCGGAGATGTAAATGTCTGTGGATCCCTGGCCTTAAGGGCTCGTCCCAGGGAGATCCTGCGGATCTGAGGAGTGGGAGTTTGGGGTAGCACAGCCCTGGTGGGGCAAAAGAGCAGGGCTGGAGGATCGGAGATCCCATGGGGTAGGGAGCAGCGGCTGTGTGGGCCTATGGAGCGGGACTTGGCGTGCAGCGCCTGCTATTCTTTTAGTATATGGTGGGGTGGAGAGGTCTCCCAGGAGCTAGGGGTTCAGAGTGCTGATGTTTCAGCTCTCCCTGGTGTTTTACCACCATTCAAGCAAGTCTCCAGCTTCTTGTCAAAGTCCCTGGATCACAGAGGTCAGAAGGTCTGTGGCTGTGTTCCAGTCGCCATCTTGGATCTCCAGTCCCCTTCTAAATATTGAATGTATCTTTCACCTAAATTTTCAGTACATTGCTCCATACATTCTTCTCCAATGTAATGTAAATCTCTGGTGCTGATTTTGAATATAGGAACATGACCAATATTGCTGTGGAATAAAGAATGTCAAAGGACAAAGCAGAATTTACTTCTTTACACAAGAAAAGTAATGTAGTAAAAATTTTAATGAAACAGACTTTTTCCTGCACATTATTATTTGTACAACCAGAGTCTTGTGCATGCTATGCAAGTACTCTCCCACACCTCGAGCTCTCATTAAGGTTTTTGTTTTGTTTTGTTTTGTGTTTTGGTGGGACTGGAGTTTGAACTCAGGGCTTCACATTTTAAGCCACACCTATAGTCCATTTTGTTCTAGTTGTTTTGGAGCTGGGATCTCGAGAACTATTAGCCTGGGTTGGTTCCAAACCCTGAGCTTCCCAATCTCAGCCCTCCAATTAGCTAGGATTATAACATAAGCCACCAGCACCTGGCTAAGGTTTCTTAGTGGGCATATAATTAGGTATTTCAGGCTTTTTAATATATGTAATGAATTTTTTTTCATTAATTCATTTCGAAAACTAGAGATTGGATCCTGCTGTCAGTCAGTAATCTTTCTTCATACAGTTTATGTCATTTGAATTCTGAAAATATTTCCAAAACTCCTTGCCTGTGACCTGCATGGGTATGCTGCATGAATCTGACTAAGAACAGCAGGGAATGAGAAATAAGACCCATACAGACATAAAACAGAAAGCTGGGGACAGGAGGAGGACTACGTGTACCTGGTGGGAAACGTGAGCGCCTATATGAACCAGAGTGTTTATTTTATAGGTTAGTATAAGGAAAAGACTCAGGTAAAAATCAAGCTTCAACAATTCTTTGATACAATGTAAAAGGAATGAGGTGTGGTGGGCTTATTTTCCTTAGGCTATAGAAGCTTAATTACAACACATCTGTTCTGGAATCATCAAGGCAACCAGGACACCTTATCTACTAAGGTATTTATTAACCTTGCATCAGGAAGTCTCCAAATAGTTCTGGTACTTTATCTAGTTTTGCATCAGGGGGCTGGTATGTGGACACACAGGTGGTTCTCTTCAAGGAGATGTGAGAACAAAGGTCAAGACACCAGGTGCTGGGAAGACTGAGTAGGAAAGACTGTTCAGGCTCCTACCATGGACAAACTATGTAAGCTCCATTATTTCCCAGTCCTGGTCCCCAACAACTCCTGACTTTTTTTTAAAGCCATTGAGTTTTAAGACTCCTCTATTTGGCAATATTTTAAAAACAGTATTTGCAGTGACTATGAAGCAGAAACTTACTTTAATTTGTTAAGTTAAAGAGGATTCCTCGATTTGCATTTTAGTGGGTTGAGAACCGGCCACTTTGCTACATAGGCATTAGACTAGCTTTGGCAACAGCAGGAGGGTAAAAGATGACAAATACATAAATTTTACTTTGAGACCAATTTTTCTTCTTTTGTTTTTCAGAGTGATTTTTATACTTCTAAACAGTCTGCTAATAGATTTTTGCATAATTTACTATAAACCTTTTTGTTTCCATTTCTTACTTGTTTTAGGTAATTTTGAATTGTTCTGCATTACCCTGGCTCTTACACTTGTTGAGTAGCCCAAAGGAGTCAATTAGAAAAGAAGCCTGTTGGACTATTTCTAACATCACTGCTGGAAACAGAGCTCAGATTCAGGTAAACACCTTTCATAGCTGAGGCCAGAACACACAGGTCTAAGATACCAGTTTGGACAAAAGTCAGAATTTCATCAGAGATGTTTTAGTGAATAACTAAAAAAGAATTTAAGAAAATATTGTTTGAAACTATTTTAAGTAACATGGCCTTTCTTCTAAAATCATGGCATATGTTTTTGGTTTTCTAGTGAGGAGTAGTAATTCTGTCTTTTGTATTAAGTTTAAATTAGGCATCATCTTCCTCTCAGAGCATTTAGTGATTTTTTTAAGTCCTGAAGCTCCTTGAGTTAGTTAGTGCTTACTTGCACATTTTGGTTAGTCATATTCTTCTAGTTTACCATCTTTAAAATTTATATTTTGCTAATATCTTCTCCATTCTTTAAAAAGCTAAAGACATGGTAGACGTGGTGGCTCATGCATGTAATCCCAGCACTCAGGTGGCTGGGTCACGAAGATCTTGAGTTGGGCTACATAATAAGACCCTATCTCAAAATGAATAAAGGAATAAAATAATGAATTTCCTTTTAGGAAAGAATGCCATAGTTTATTTACAAATTACAAACAAAACATTTCCAAAGATACATTCCAAAAACATTTTAAAGCTACTGAGTTTCAATACTCCTTTACTTGATAACATTTTTAGAACAGCATTTGCACTAATTACGCTATATCATTTTCCTTTCTCTCAGGCTGTTATAGATACAAGTATTTTTCCTGTTTTAATTGAGATTCTTCAGAAAGCAGAATTTCGCACAAGGAAAGAAGCAACTTGGGCTATAACTAATGCAACATCAGGAGGCACGCCAGAGCAAATAAGGTGTGATTCAAATTTTTAAAAATTGTTTTTAAGAGCTGGGCACGATGGCTCACACCTGTCATCCCATCTACTCAGGAAGTAGTGACTGGGAGGATCAAAGTTTGAGGCCAGTCTTGGCAAAAACTTGGCTAGAACTCATCTTAGTCAATAAGCTGGGCATGGTAGTGGGTAAATCTGAGCTACTTCGGAGGCATAAATAGGGCTAGACTGGCCCAGACAAAAATGAGACCCTGTTTTTTAAAAGTTAAGAAAAAGAGACTAGGGGTGTGGCTTGGGTGGTAGAGCTCCTGCCTAGCAAGCTTGAGGCCCTGAGTTGAAACCCCAGTACCACAAAAAAAAAAAAAAGTTTTTAAAATTCAAATCAGACAGAGTTTGAATTTGAAATAAAACATTTTTTTATTTATTGATGAAGTTGACATTATTCTGTGTCCATTTGATAAGCATTATTAATATAAAGTGGCAGCATTAGCTATATCATTCATTTCTCAATTTTTTTAATTAAATTGAAATTATAATTAATATCATTTTCCTTGGCAAACCAGAGATTAAAAATCTGAATAGGAACAGTCTGTATTAATATTTAAAATACATTGTCATGAGCATAGATATTTTTTAAAGCATTAAAATCACAAAAACTTAACTTTACCTTATAGAAATAACTAATATATTTGAGTATCAACTTATTAAAGTAAAATTGAAATAGATCTTTATTTGAGGATATTCTACTCCTAATCATTTGTTAGCCATGGCAGTAGATAGAACCATACTTTTATTTTCTACACTACACTTTTTTTTTTTATGTACTAGACTTTTTTTAAATATAGGGCTTTTCTTAACTTATTTTACTGACAGCTTATAAACAGTTGGTGCATGAGCTTTAAGTGAGCCTGGCACCAAGTACTCCTTCAGTAAAAGTTGTGTGATCTTGATGGAGTTATTTAAGCCTTCTAATCTAGTCTCTTCATTTTTTAAAATGAGTTCAGTAACAAAGTACCAACAGTCAAATGTATGTATTTAAAATGCTCAGCACAGAGTCTAAACATTAAGTTCTCAAGTAAAGGTAGTTATTATTGTCATTATTATTTGTGATCATAATTTTTATCACTTGATTCTTAAGTCTCTTTATTACGAGCTTTTCAGCCTTCAGTAGCAAAG